ATTAAAATATGAATGAACTTAGTTAAGCTCTCTCTCTCTCTCTCTCTCTCTCTCTCTCTCTCTCTCTCTATATATATATATATATATATATATATATATATATATATATATCTGTCTCTGCGTCTCTGAGTCCATCTGTCTCTTTGTCTTTTTTTCTGTTCCTCTATCTTTCTGTCTCTGTATCTGTCTCCATCTCTGAGTCTCTGTATCTCTGAATGCCTCTCTCTCTCTCTCTCTCTCTCTCTCTCTGTCTCCTGTGTATATGTGTCTTTCTCTCTCATCTGTTTAATATTGCTGGAATGAAACTCAAATTCCAATTTAACCCACCATGACCCCCACTGCCACCCCCATCAATGACTGGGAAGATGGAACAGAGAACACAGGAATGTAACTTTAAGTTGCCCAATTTTGCTTACATCTTAGAAGTCAGAAGTAGTTACAACTGAGTTTGATGAATTAGGGAAATTATCACGCAAATGCAGGTTAGAATACAATAGAATAGAGTAAGGACAAAACATTCCAGTGACAAAAGATATACAAAAGACATAGATTCAAGATAGGAAATACCTGGCTAGGCAGAAGTGTAGCCTGGGGTGAGAATGAAAAAGAGACTGCACAGGAGTTAGCAATGGAGTGTGGTTATTGAGGGGGGCAAAGCTAACATGGTAACAAGATGTATTAACAATTATATGACATGCAATCTCTGGGAAGTCCTATTATCCCTGTGTTTGGCACTGGCTAATTCTTATTCAAGTATTGCATCTAACATGGGTTTCCAAACTTTAAGGGGAATGTGAAAAAGTTGGAATGAGGCCAGGAAAGAAACAAGAAAGATAAAATGGCAAGGAAATCAGACCTGAGAGTAGAAGTTCAAAAGTAGGATTATTTAGCCTGGAGGAGACAGGAGGCTGCTGGGTGACTTGCAAACTGTGTAAGTCTAAAGCTGGTTATTGTAATGAGCATGCTGGCTAGGTGTTCTGCACCAGCCCTGGAGAGAAAAAGCAGAAGGGAGTGTCAATTGCAGCCCAAGGTTTTATGTTACATAGAAAGAAACCTTCTACAGAGCAAAAAATGTTTAGCCCTGAAGTTATCCAGGCAGGAAGGTGGTGACATTTTTCTCCTATCCCTGATCCAAAAAATCTCTAAGGAGGCCACAAAAGGCCCTCACTGGACACTACTCACTTGTACATTTTGTCTTCCTCCATTAGAATGGAAGTTCCCTGAGGGCAAGAATTGCTTTACTTTTTGGTATTTGTATTCCCAGGGTTTAGAATAGGGACTAGCACATAGTAAACACTTAATAAATTATTTGTCATTCACGTTTCCATTCATTCGTTCACTTATTCATTCATTCATTCATTCACATTCACTGCTATAAAATCACCACCAACCAGGTCTTTTTTGCAAATGAGGAAGCTGAAAAGCAGAGAGGCTGGGTGAACACTGCCCCTGGGGGCAGAGATCCATAGGTCTGCTCTACTTCTCACTGACTCTGACTTTGCAGCTGCAGGTGAGTGGAAGAAGGGCAGATTTTAGTTCTTGTTCCCTCTCACTTGCTTGCTACCACAGAGGTCAGGCCGAATGGCATCAAATTAATACAGTTTTGATTGTCAGCAGGCCATAGTAAACAGAGCATTGGGTTTGGAAGTCAAGAAAGACAGGGATTTGAGATGCCACCTTAGAGACTATAATGTCCCAGAGCAAGTCACTTAAACTACTCTGCTGAGCCTCAGTCTCCCTATCTGTAAAATGGGGATAATGCTATTTGTAGCACTTTCTTCTTAGGGTTTTTTGTGAGGTTCAGATGTGATTATGTATAATACTATTTCAATGGTAACTATTATTGTTGATATTTTTCTTAAGACCAATGAAGGAAATTGATGCTACTGTTAAATTTGATGCCTTCTTTAACCTCGACAATTGGTACCTTATTCTCTCCAAATAGACTTGCAAATTAAGTTCTTATCCTTTGCTATTTAAAAAAAAATGTTAATGCCCTTTGTTTTTATATCATATTTATTTCTAAATATATTCCTCATCTATTCAATCATCCCTCTTAACAAGTGTATTTTCCAAAGGAGGAAAAAAAAATAGATCTGTAAAACCAACCAACCTATTGACTGAGTTTAAAAGGATATGTAATATTCTACTCTACACTCATTGTCCTCCACCACTGTAATGAAGGGAAGGAGGTTTATTTTCACAAGTCTTCTGTTGATACTTATAGCCATATGATTTCTAAATATATTGAGAGAGTGATTCCTCTTCTAGGAAAGTCTTCACCAACCAGGACAAGAAACAGTGAGCTTTAAATGAAGAGTCAATCCCAGTGAATCCCAGTCTCTACCATTAACTTGCTTTGTGAACACAGACAAGCACTTTGCCTCTTTGGTCTCAGTTTCCATAAAATGAGAGTTCCAGATTAGATGATTTCCAAGGTCCCTTTTAATGTTAAATCTGATAACCCTTCTCTGGATATTTTCTGGAAAGGGAAAAATATGTATTCATCTCACCTGGTATGTACAACAGTATAGCTGCCTGAAAGGAAAATTATTACCGCTCTGTTCTCACCTATGCCATAGCAGGATACCAATACCTCACAGGCCAAGACTAGCCCTGTGATTTCAAGTGGGTTGGGAACTTCCAGTGTGGAAATTCCCTCCACTTTTGCTAGCCAGAACCTTTTTTTTACATACTTTTAGAGAGTTGGCGAAGGACACTGAAAGGTTAAGTTAATTAACCATGATAACATAGCAAATAGAAGTTAGTGTATGTAGCCAGGTCTTCTTGACTCTTTCACCTATGAAATTCTGCCTTTCATACTTCATCTTTACGTATTCTTTAGAAAGTGTAGTACCCTTTAGTGAATAAGGAAAACCAGAGTCATCAATCAGTCATTCACACACCTATTAAACTTTAAGTTCCACTAGATTGTAAACTCCTTGTAAACTCAGGGTCTATCTTTTGCTTTTTTTTTTTTAATCTGAAGAGCTTGGCATCATGACTGGCACATAGTTGGCACTTAATGAATGTTTGTTGATTTATAAACTAAATATTACACAAAAGAAGATAACCAGACTTAACTTTCTCTTTGTATTCCTTGCACCTAGCACATAGACACTTAGTAAATGCATGTTGATTCATTGGTTGAATGACTGATTCCTTCCCCATACATGCTTAGAGTGAAAAAACCCTATATTGTTTCTCTACCTTGGATCTTAAGAAGTAATTTTTAGTAAAAACATATGACATTCCTTTATTCATTTCTTCTCCTGGATATGGGAGAGATGGCCATCCCACATGTCCCAAGATATTGCCCTGCATGAGAATATCAATTATCATGCCAATGGCAAGTTTGTGGCAATAAAAGGGGTCATGTCCTGTTAGCATATTGAGGGTAAAGAAGGGACTTTGTTTCTTCTGCCTGAAAAGTAACCTTTTTGTGGTCCGGAACAGGAACTTTGCTTTAACATGATTTTTATCCATTTTTATGCATTACCCCTGAAGGTTGGGATGATCCTTTACAATTCTGTCATTTTCAGTACTATGTTCCAGCATGAGTCAGATTCATGAATTTTCAGTCTTCAAGAGATCATAAAGTCTGTCTTAATATGCCCCCTTTCCAGTTTATAGATAAGGAAATTGAGGCCCAATGAGTTAAAGTAACTTGTTCATGGACACATAGACAATTATTTATGAAATTTTATCTTCCAAGGCTTCATTCACTTTTGTGTTGTAATATATGTCTTTGCTGATATTTTTATGCTTCTTCTTGCATGCTATTTGCTGTGATACTCAGCACTCATCTCTTAATTGCCTTCCAGGTTACTTTCAATTTTGATTGTCCAGGATTTGCATTATTCCCTTCTTCCCAAGAATGAAGTATTGCTAAATAAAATTTGTTCTTCAGTCATTTTTGCAGTTGTGTCCAACTCTTTGCGACCCCATTTGGGGTTTTCTTGGCAAAGATACTGCAGTGGTTTGCCATTTCCTTCTCCAGCTCATTTTACAGATGAGGAAACTGAGGCAAACAGGGTTCAGTGACTTGCCCAGGGTCACACAGCTAGTAAGTACCTGAGGCCAGATTTGAACTCAGGCAGATGAGTCTTCCTTGACTTCCTGATTCCAGGTCCAGTATCCTGCCTATTAGGCCATTTGCTTGCCTGCTGGAATAATGTACTTTTAAAAAAAAAAGACGCTATTTTTGGTTCTGCATTTTATTTCTCGTTTTGTCACATAAAAACTTTTCATTGAGCCATACTTTACAAGGGTGGCAGTAAGGGAAGTTAGTACTGAGGGAAACTAAGGAACACAGGAAATAACTCTGCTAATATGTTTTAGGCTAAAAGAAAGGAATGATGAACAAAACCCAGAAACAACATAAGCATATCATGAAAAACCCACCTATTCCATCTGATTCATTGTCTTATTTGATTATTTTTTTTTAATTTTAAAAAATACAAAGGAGTTCACCTAAGTGGTTCTTTCAATATTTGGGAATGAATGACAATACATGCTTGGATATAACAATAACAATAAGTCATATTTATGTAACGTTTTAAAGTTTTTGCTGTTACTTTAATATCAACCTTGTAAAATAGGCAGTGCATGCATTTATTATTCTTCATATGCAGATGAAGAAACAGGCTCAGAAAAGTAAATTTAATTATCTATAGTTACATATTATATGGTTCAGCCAAGATTAAAAATCTGACATTTTGACTGTGATCAGTCAACAAGCATTTATTGAGCACCTGCTATATACCAATCACTGTGTTGAGCACCATGGATTCAAAGAAAAGCAAAAACAGTCCCTGCTCTCAAGGAGCTCACAGTATAATTTGGGAGACAACATTAAAACAACTACATTCAATCAGGATGTAGTCAGGATAAATTGGAGATAGGTAACAGAGGGAAGGCATTGTTTGTTCATTCTTCCTTCTCAAAGAGGACCAATGATATCATCAGCAGGGTGATGTCTTGACTACCAAGTGCATTGGATTAAAGTGAGGCACAGCTGTGCAGAGTCATCAGCCTTGTTCTCTCCTCCCGAGTCACCTGAGTCCAGTGGTAAGACATGGGTCAAGATGACTAATGATGGCCCTGGATGCAGTGGGAGAAGCTCAGGTCTTTGCTGGCTTGTCTGAGGCAATGCTCATTCAGTAGTTAAAGGCTAGATAAGAATCGAGGCAAAAGATGGTCTAGTCGAGAAGACACTAGAATTAGGAGAGCATTCTTGCAGAAGTTTGGATTTTAGTTGGGACTTGAAAGAAGCCAGAGCAGGCAGCAGAAGCAGAGGTGATGAGGGAGAGAATTCCAGACATGAGGAACAGATGGTGGAATACATACATAGTCTAGAGTTGGAGTGTCTAGTGAGAGGGATAGGCAGGAGGTCAGTCTCACTGGATGTGGAGTACATAGTTGTGAATGAACTTTAAGAAGACTGGAATGGTAGGGAGGGAGGAGACTGGTAATGAAGGTTGCTGTTGTTTGTCCTCCCTTTAGGAAGGTGATGTCATGACTTGCAAGTGAATTGACTTTAAGTAAGAGAGGGCTGTGCAAAGTCACCAGCCTCACTCTCCCTTCTGGAGCCATTTGGGTCCAGTGGCAAGATATGGATCAGAACAAATGGAGATACCTCCAGTAATGAAGGACTTTGAATGACAAACAGAGGATTTTACATTTGATTCCAGAGATAATGGGGAGCCATTGAAGTTTATTGAAGAGGGAGGTGACATGGTCAGACTCGGACTTTAGGAATATTAATTTGACAGTTGTGTGGAGGATGGACTGTAATGGGAGAGGCATGAGGAAGAAGATTCACCAGCAAGGAGTAGTCTATGCACTAGGTGATGAGGGTCTGCCTTAGGGGGATAGAGGTGTCAGAAGAGAGAAAGAGGCCTATCAAATTTTATTATGCTTTTTCCAGTTAGCCCATGTGACAATTAAAAAGGCTCAAGAGACATAATTTCTGGGCAATTTAATCATTTTATTAATAAAGCCAGCATGTTATTAATTAAAGGATGGCCATTTGGCTGTCTGTCTTAGACCAAAGGCAACCATGATGATGGACTCACAGTTTATGTACCCTTGGATGAGAAGATGTTCAACGAGGGGCTGAGAATGACATCTTGTCATCCTAAAACAGAGAGACTTATCTCAGTACCCAAACCATGCCCAGCCTTGGGCAAATCTATTCAAAGAATGTATGCCCCACCCAAACCTGAGCAGAACACTTGTGGGGTGGGGTCTGAAGAATAAAGTTAGTCCAATCTCATTATCAACAATGTCCTTCAAGAGATTGAACTTTTTAATATCAGGACTTTAGAAAAGGGGTAGAACTCTAGATATCCCCTAAATCATTGGTTATTAATACTCATTTCTCTCACTCACCATATTAAACACATAGTGTAAGTCATGAATAGGGTCAAAGTCAATCTTTATTTTGATATTTCACTGAATCTATCATCTCATTTACATGGGGATTCTCCACTTATATCTTGCCAACCTATGGGGCTGTCTATATCCTTCCAAAAATCTTCCACAGGGAGTCCACTCAACATATTGGGAGTCTACTAGGTTTTTGACATTAAGTAGATACTAGTGCAACATACAAGTTGTTGATCTGTTACCCAATGCTGTTACTACTTAACTGTTTCCTTGTTGCTGTACATGTCTATGGTGATGTGTTGAAGCTGCTTCTTGTATGCATTTGCTGTAATATCTATGATTTATCTCTTCATTGCTCTTTGTATTGATTTTCAATTTTAAATATTTAAGAATTGTGATATTTCTCTACTCTCAGGTATAAAAACTTCATAGGAAAAATGGTAGCGTGTGTGTGTATTTTAAGTTGCAATTTTGTGTGTACATTTTATTTTATTTTTTGTTTTGTTTTATCAGGGAGAAATTTGAGATTGTTGAAACTATAGTTCTAATCCAGTCTCTTCCTCCTATTCAATTTTCCCTCTTCAGTCAGTGCAAGATGTGTTTATTGATGGACTGTACATTCAACTACATATCATAGTCTGGACAATATACATTTGTCATCCATTTCCTATGTGGTTTATGAGACCCAACTATTTGGGCTAGTTATGAATGTTGTTTGAGAGGTTATGAATTTGCAGGTTGATATAATCAGTTCAATGTCACCCACAATCAATCACTTCGGAAGGACCATGGAATCTCTAGGGAATTCCTTTTCCATTTGAATTGTATACTGGGTATTTTCCATGAGAATTGCAATACTTTTCACAAGTAAATATCTTCTTGTTTTGTACATAATTTCATTTTTTAAACATTTTAATATTTATTATCTTTGTGGTTTTTTTTGTCAGTCTCAATTGCCAATATGCCTTCCCCTCTCTCCTACCCAGTAAGCCATCCCTTATCACCAAGTAATAATAACAATAAAATACAATGAAAATAAAGTAATTTCAGCCAGACTAATCATCACATCAACTGTACTTGCCTGCATATGAATTAATCCACATTAATTGGGTCACACATCAGCAAAATAGGGATGGGGCTTAAATTTCACTAAATCTTAACTTGTCCATGAGAGACACTTGATTGAAGGAGAGGTTGAAAGCAGCGTTTTCCCCTCAGAGACAAAATGCTTTGTTACAGTCAACAAACAATAATCACAGTGAGACCTTGTAACCTCCACAACTTCCAGTGAAATATACCTGCAAAGATGTGTCAGCAGTAAAAAGTCTGACTGTTCCTGTCCTATATTTTTCTAAAGGATGTCCCTAGTTTATGAGTAGATGATTCTAATAAATATTTTGCAGAGACAAGAAAGTAGGAATACGGGTTGGTAGTTACTGATGTCATCTTTATTACCTTTTTCTGTTGTCAGAAACTAGAGCATGTGTGGTTTCCCCCTCTGATTTGTAGGTGCATTGACTAAGATTGCTTCAGAACGTAATTCCTCAATTCTTTCAAAATTGTGATGTAGGGAGTAGAGATATATCCATTTATACTTGCTTCAGTTCAACTGTTCTTCCTCTCTTTGCTTTCTAATGTGCAATGACTACTTCCTCCTTAGAGGCATTGTGATACTATGTGTGTGTACCTATATACACATATACATATATTTGTATATATGTGTGTATAGCTCTATCTGTATATACTCACAGTACTTACATATATATATATATATATATATATATATATATATATATATATATATATATATAGACATAGACATTCATATCTCTATCTATCTGTCTAGCTATCTACCTACAGTTAGGTAGCTAGAGTGTGGGCCTGGAGTCAGAAAGATTCATCTTCCTGAGTTCAAATCTGGCTTAGAACACTTACTAGGTGTGTGACCTGGCCAAATCATTTAATCTTATTGGTCTCATTTTCCTCATCTGTAAAATAAGCTGGAGAAGGAAATGGGAAACTATTCCAATATCTTTGCCAAGAAAACTCTAAATGTGGTCACAAAGAGTCAGATAGCATTTTAAAGTTTGCAAAGCATTTACAAATATTATCTCATTTGATCCTCACAACAACCCTAGGAGGTAAATGTTCATTATTATCTTCATTTTAGAGGTGAAGAAACTGAGGCAGAGTTACTCACCCAAGGGTACAGAGTAATATGTATCTGAGGCCACATTTGAACTCAGGTGTTCTTGTTTTGAGTTCAGCCATCTATTCACCGTGCCACTCACTACCCTAGATGTTTGCAAATGTTACCTTGTTTGACCATCACCACAACCATACAAAGTGCTATTATTATCCCCATTGTGGATGAGGAAACTAAAGCTGAATGGCTAAATAACTTACTCAGAGTCAGATCACACACTTCTGAGGTTGGATTTGAACTCAGGTCTTCCTGGCAGCTAGGTGACTCAGTGGATAGAGTGCCAGTCCTGGAGTCAGTAAGACTCCTCTTCCTGAGTTCCTATCTTGTCTCAGACATTTACTAGCTATGTGATCCTGGGCAAGTCACTCAATCCTGTTGGCCTCAGTTTCCTCATCTGTAAAATGATCTAGGGAAGGAAATGGCAAATATCTCCAGTATCTTTGCCAAGAAAACTCAAAATGAGGTCATGAAGGGTTGAACATGATTGAAAATGACTAAACAAAAACAACTTCCTGTATCCAAGGCCTGAAATCTACCTTCTGTTGGCTCTGAAGAAACAGAAAGTTGATATGAGACATCAGTTATGCCTTGAGGAACTGTTTGTTTGCATATACTATATCATAAATGAAACACAGGATCAAATGTACTTAGAGCTAAAGTTTATCAGGTTCGTGACATATATTCACAAGCCATAAAGCATGCTGGGCAACACTTAGCTGACTTTATTAAGTATAATAAAAACACTTAGTGCTTACTTCATGATCAGTGCTAAAAAATTATCAATATCTCTATAAAACCAATGACAGATACATATGTTCATATGTCTATGAATGCGTATAGATTGATTAATGATTAGTCAAGATCCCAAATTGGAAATTAAATAAATGCTCGTTTTGATATTGCCTGAGGAAGTTGAAATTTTAACCTCTCTCTCCCTTTTCACTCTTTGTTGCACTTTTTTTCCCTCTCTACTCAAACACTGCTTTCACCTAGCTCACTGCATGGATGAAATCACACTTTCTACTCAACTTCCCAGCTCAACTGGGTGCCACTCGTTTTAATTTCATGACAATGTTGTTGCTGTTCTTAGCCAGTAGCAAACTACTAATGGCCAAAGCATCAACTTTCAGCCCTTTAATTTATTAAAATGAAATGCTCTGGAAATCCATTAAATAGGCATGTGCCCTCTGGGGTGTGTTCAGCATTTTGTACAGTATTATAAACTAGATTCAAGTTGGGCCATGATTTGTACTTGGTACAATTTCATTTCTCATTTGCTTTCTAATGTCTGGGAGCAATGGTTTCCATACCACCTTCTAAAGACAATGTTTCTATAAATGCTGGTATTTCTCCAAATGACACTTCGATGATAAAATATACCACACCCCTGCTCAAAAATTAAAAGAAAAAAAGACCTACTAGCTGATGGGGCTGCTATTTCTGCTATTTTCCTTTTCCTTCACCTTCTGATATTGGTGCCTGATTTCAGCATGAAATGATTTCCAAGTTTTCAAATGAGTTCAGTTAAGGAACAAAATATTTACACCCTCCATACTTGCACTCATTCACAGCTAGATACAATACAGATGCTAAGTCCGCAAGAGCTTCCACAAATCTGTAATAAAATAATTAAATTAGTGGGCTGTGTTTAGATCAGAGATTCTTGGTTGCCAACTCTTAAGAACTCTGGGAATTCCAAGCCACAGAAGGATCGTTTGGAGTCCATTTGGCGGAAACGTCAGAAACTTGCTGCTCTTGGGAACATCGTTTTCCAATAACATTTATAGCTCTAGATGGAAGCGAAAAGCACCATATGTTAAGAGTTTCCTGCAAAGCTTCCTGGTAAGAGAGGAAATAAATTCAACTTGTCACATCTGCTCGTGGGCCAGTCAAGTAGGATTTTATCACAGCTTTAAGTGGTTTACAAAACTGTCCTGTTATCGACTAAAGGGACTTTACGTTTTAGGGTTGGGTGTTTGGTTTTTCCTTTTATTTTTTTATGCTGATGTTCATAATCTAAATCATTAAACTATTTTTCTTCCTTGCTTTAGTTCCTGTGCATCATCACTGGCTTCTGAACCCTTGGAATTTCAGCTAAGAATCATCCCCAGGCAGAGTCCCCATAGCATTCCATGGCTTAGCTGCTAGAAGGCCTTGGGGTCCTAATTCTACCTTAGTTTCAACCCATGGGTTCTTCTGGTTTGCATAATTTAAGTTGGGAGCTGCATTTAATCAGGCTAATTGATTATCCACCATTCTAAAAAATCCCCAACTGATTTTCACTGTGCCAAAGGCCCACAGGGTCAGATGAGATTACTGTGCCAGAGGTTTAGGTGCATACAAGGAAAAGTGCTACTACTTGCATTATAAGCCAAATCTTTTCCTTGAAGTGATACATGTTCCTTTTTTTTTTTCTGTCACAAATGTTTCCAAAGATGTTAGTATCACTGTGGGCATTTCAGTTTTCTGTCACAAGTGACATTCTCTTCCAGTTGTGAATCAAGAGCAAATGTGGTGGAGGATGAAAACATTCTCTCGTTCTAATTAAGCCTAAATCAAATTGATAGCCATCGTTACACAGTGAGAATAGGTTTCAACTCACAGACCAATCCTTTAAGAACAACTGCCTTGTTACATGACAATGACCAGGAATTTTTAAAGCGACTAGCCCAGGCCTTTTAAATTCTACTCCTACATTCCCTATCAACTAACATGGATATGGACTTTAAAAATTAAGATAATAGGATCAGATATTTAGGGAAGGAAGAGATCTGAAAGTTTGTCTATTCCAACACTCTCATTTTATGGATGGGAAAACTGAGGCTCCCAGAAGTTAGTTGACTTGCTCAAAGTTAGTCAGGTAGTAAGTGGCAGGTAGGATTTGATTGCATGATCTCTGATTCTAAATTCTTTACTCTTTCCAACATGCTGCACTGAATCCATGTTTATATTTTGGTAGTAACACATTACTTGAGGGGAAGAAAAAGCCTTGTTAGCACAGATACATGCATGATATATGTATTTTTTTCATTCACTGTTTAAAATTATCCATGGATGTAAACAAGGACATATGGAACATTAAAATGGTATATAATAGTAAAGACATCAGTTATCTCATAAGAATAAAGGCTTTGGTTTCATAATTATTGTGAAAAATGCTGTGCCAGAGCAAAAGCACACTTAGATTTGTGTTGCAAATGCCCAAAAGATTTTAAGCCATTCATTTATTTACAGTTTTCAAAATAGGCTCTGCCTCCTTTTTAAATAGTACGCTCAGTATTCTCTGCCCCCTGACAATTCAGCTAATGGAAGTTTGGGGAACCTGTTTCTAGCCATGATAGAGTAAGGGTCCATGATTGACTATACAATGATGAAAAATTTTTGGTTTTGCTAAAGACTCATGAGGACTAATTACTTATTGGAGTTCTGAGCTGTAATTTGGGTTTCACATAAATGGTTCAAGAGGATAATCTCTCATTCTCTTACCTGGAGAAATTTGAGTAAGGAGGACTGCTTGCTTTGAGATGTCAGGTAGGAGACTTTCTGTCACATTGCTGCTATGTGTTCTGAGTATATAATGTTGTGTTTCTTTTATTCTGATCTTTGGTTTCTTCTGTCCCGAGATGAGAGTATTCAGGCAACTGGTGAGATCAACAGATCCATTTATGCATACCAACAACCAGGATCCCAGAACCAACGGTAACAAGAGTTGAGTCTGGTAAGGAGGTAATTCAGCTGATCAAAAGGGCAATTTATCTATTGGCCATACCACAATCAGAATTAACATTTTTTTCTTTTTTGGTGAGGCGATTGGGGTGAAGTGATTTGCCCAGAGTCATATAGCTAGTATTAAGTGTCTGAGGCTGGATTTGAACTCAGGTCCTCATTACTCCAAGGCCAGAGCTCTATTCACTGCACCACCTAGCTGCCCCCAGAATTAACGTTTTTTTAAGAGGGGAAGGAGAGAGCCCAAAAAGGAGAAAAGGATTCTCAGGGTGACTAAGTAGCGCTTGGCTGCACACACACCCTACGTTGGCATTTCAGTACCTTTGTGACTCAGAGTTTAAGCTCATTTTCCCAAAGGCCCAAGTATGCAAAGAGAAGGGAGAGAAATACTAGTTTGGGGGGTCGTTTGTAACTTGTGTCCTTGCTTACCTTCTCAGTACAAATCCGTTTATAAAAGTTAATTGATATCAACCATTTGCTTACTATTAAGGATACTTCAACTGTTTAGTCAATATTGGAAAGAACATATCTGGTGACGTGGGGCTTATGAGTGAGAATACTAGAAAACCACCCTAACCTCTCAAGGTTGTTCCTAGAACCCTGATGGGAGAAATCATCACCAATCTTCTAGGGCCCCAAATTATACTAGTGGGAGCTGGCAAGTAGTGCTTGAGAGGGTATTATGTATGTAAGCTTCTTGAGGGTGGGGAACACTTCTTTTGTTTTGTTTTGTTTCTTTGTAGCTCCAATGCTGAGGACAGTTCTTTGCACATTATAGGGGCTGAAAATGCTTTGTTGATTGGTTATTATTGGAAGCAGGGTCGCTGAGATCAGGGCAAACAAAAAGAAAGCCGAAAGGGATATTACAGTAAGGAAAAACTTTAAGCCCTTTGATGCTATTTACTGGAATTTAGAAAAAAAATAAAGGAAGTTAGTTGAGCACGAACATATAGTGATTGGAGACAATTAATGAGTCATCTTGAACAAACGTTCAGTTCACATGACTTGGAAGTAACTGGGCCCAGATGAAAAGGAGGAGGAAGAAGAGAAGAAGGAGGAGGAGGGATAAAAAGTGGAGGAGGAAGAGGGAGAAGAAGAGCAACATTAGTAAGATCTGAGGTACCAGTTCTCAAAGGATGGTCCCAGGGTTATTGGAGGTGTCTAAGAGCCTTTCATGGGGCCTGTGTGGTTAAACTTTTTAATATGAAGATACGTTAATTTCCAATACAATAAATATTAATAGAAATATCACATATAAACAAAAAGGCTTTGGGGTACTCAACAATTTTAAAGAGTCGAAAGGATTCCTGAGATCAAAACATTTGAGAACCGTTGATCTAAGGAGACACACTGGACATCTTTCCATTAGTTCGGGGACCTTCCCTCCCACCAGTGCAGGACTCCCAATGCCACATTCTCCTTTTTGGCAAAGGAGAATAGATGAAAGAAAAAAAGGGGGTGGAATCCCCTGTCTGTAACTTAGGCCTAATGTGGCATAGAAAAATGGCTGCATTTTGTTTCCTTTAAATGTCAGGCTCAAGCTCACCAGTCTGATTCTTCCAAAACTGTATCACCTTTGCCTCAGTAAAAGCAGCAGTAGACTGATTCCACTGCACTTGGATTGGTGTGGTATGTATCTGTTTTCCTTTGAAATGTTTGGAATGTCAGGCACATTAAGAAATAACAGGTTCACTCAGAAAATGCAGTCAAAATAATTGAACATCTTTTTCCCAGGTCTGAGTATATTAATTTGTTGTTACTCAGAGAAACGTGGATGGAGATGATGCACATTTTATTGTAAAGCAAAACATAAATCAGTCCAGCCCTATCAATAAATAACAATTTTAGCAATATAAAGATGGGAAACTCTAATGTAAGAGCAAGCAAGAGAATCAAAACAGAATGTTTATCTGCCATCGTCTGTCTCCTTTTTTTTCCTCTCTTAGTCTGGCAAGTTTTATTAGCAGAATGACCTCAAATACAAAACTGGAGGTGTATAAGCAAAATCCTATTACAACAAATATCATTACAATAAAATGTACCTATGCAATTCTACATATGTAAAAGTTTGGCAAAGCCACCTTGGGCAATATTTCACACAGAAAACCTCCAATACAATAATATAATTCCCCTAAATATCTAGATAGTTGGCTATTTCCTCAAATACAACCTACTGACCTTACTGATAGGAAGAACTGATTTCAAATCCTGCCTCATGCACTTATAAGCGACATTACTCTGGGCAAATCCCTTAACAACTCTGACTCTCAGTTGACTCATTTGTAAAATGGGAATTATAATAACACACAATAACAGTACAGGGCTTTTTATGGGGATCAAATAACACAATGTTTATGAATGCTAGCTATTGTTATGATTTATTTACAGTATCTATTCTGTATATACTTAGGATCACAGATTTGGACTTGGAAGGAATGATAGAGGTCATTGAGTAGTCTACCCACCTAATTTTTTTTCTTGGTGGGGTCAGGGGTTGGTAATGGGATTGAGTGATTTGCCCAGGTCACACAGCTAGCAAGTGTTATGTGTCTGAGGTTGGATTTGAACTCAGGTCCTCCTGAATCCAGGCTGGTGCTCTATGCACTACCCCTCTCTTTTTTAAAATGAGGAAGCGGACCTTAAGAGGTTAGCCCAACAACACACAGTCAAGTATCTAATGCAGCATTTGCACTGGGCTCTTCCAGGCTCCAAATTCAGCACACAATGGACTCTGCTATAACTGCCTCTCTCTAGACCACCTCTCTGCCTCCAAATGTCATTTTTCAAGTTCAAAGTTCTAATGTGAAATAAAGAAGAACTTCACCACTGGATCAAATTCATGAATCCTACCTGTTCAGTGAGACCTCAGTACAGTTTTGATTTATTGTCTTAAACATAGGAGCACAGCTCTCTCTCTCTCTCTCTCTCTCTCTCTCTCTCTCTCTCTCTCTCTCTCTCCCCTCCCCACATATATATGTATATACACACATACACATATATAATGTATTATAAAACATGTATTATGTAATATATATGCACATATGCATGTTCTGTATACATGCACGTATACATACACATATAATATATGCACATATTTGTGTTATATATACACATATCTTTATGTATATATACATTTTTACACACACACAGAATGAGTGTTCCTCATACTAGAAGATCTTACAGTCTAGCATGGTATACACACACATATAATTCATGTCCATATATATTATTATGTTTATCAGTGTGTATATGTAGATTTATATGTACACATAGACATGTATGTGTATATGAATATACACACCTTGCTGGATTGTAAGATCCTTGGGAATGAGAAACATTTCATTGTATGTGTTAGTGTATAAATTTATGCACACATACATATATACATAGACACATGTATGTGTATGCATGTATATAGAGTGTATATGTATATATACCCCATTAAACTATAAGGTCCTTGGGATTGGGGAACATGTTTGCAGGTGTTTTATCCCTATCACTTAGCACAGTTCCTTGTCCACAGTAGTCACTTAATAAATGCTTGTTGATTGATTGAACATCTCCCTAGTATTCATTGCACAATAATTATACACACACATACATATATGTATATATGTGTGCATGTGTGTGTGTGCTTCACTCTAGTGGCACTAACACTGACAAGCTGATTTAGAGGGCTGCACAACCACAGAAGCATAGACTCCTGGAACTGGAAAAGGAGACTTGGAGATCATCTAGCCCAATTTCAATAACAACAACAACCGGTATTTATGTTGCGTTTTAAAGTTTGTGGAGAAACTTTACATATATTGCCTTATTTTGATTCTCACCACATTTGGGAGGTGATATTTTCCCACATTGTACAAATGAGGAAACTGATGGGAAGAGGTGAGTGATATGTCCAGAGCCCCATAGATACTAAGTGAGAAAGACAAGTTTCAAACCCAGGTTCTGACCGGAAGCGGAAGAATCCTTGCTGTCACCTCCGCTCTCTAGAGGTTATCTAACCTCTACTTGAAAACCTCCAGGGACTGGAGCTGCTTCTTGAATTAATTTCATTCATCGCAGGTGGGGGGTGGCAATATTTTGATTTTAGTTTTTTTTTTCTCTTTATTACTTTCTTGTCTTTTAGTTTGGCTTTATGATTCCAGCACTATGGGGCTGCCCTCACCTCCTCCTCCTCCTTAAGGAAACTCACTCTGTCACAACTGTTCCGCAACTTACAGGCTTGCGTGACTTCCTAGGGTCCTGAAATATGAATTGACTTTCCCAGAGTCACACAATCAGAATATGGAGAGGCAGGTTTTGAACCCAGGTCTACCTAATTCCAAGGCTAGCTTTTTATCTCTTACACAAAGTTGCTTTTCCATATATTGAATGAAAATATACCTCCCTCTCCCTTCCATCCATGAGTACCTTTTCTAACCTCCAGGGCCAAACAGAAGCATAGGAACCTCCAGGTCATCTCATCCACTCCTTTCATTTTTATAGTGGAAGAAAGTCCAGGTCATGAAGGTTCAGTAAGATGTCCCAGGTCATCTAGTAATAAGCTTCGTTCTCACTTTCAAATGACAAGAATTCATACATTTGAGAAGAGCAGTTTTATCCTTGCTCTTTCAGTCTTTTTTAGGCTAAAAAGCTCTTTCATTCAAGCTATCTTGTATGGAGTGATTTTCTGAGTGTCTTCACAGTACTGAATACCTTCCCATGGACTGGTTTCCATTTGTCAATGTCCTTAACAGATCTAGTGCTTCTATTGACCATATGTGTTCCCAGCACAAACTTATAACAATAACTTCAATGAAACAATGATAATAATGAATAATAATAGACAGCATTAATACAGCTTTTTAAGTCTAGTGAAATGTTTTATAAATATTACATCATTTTATCTTCACAACAATCTTAGAGGGTAGATACTATTATTATTGACATTTTATAGATGAGAAAACTGAGGCAGACAGATTAAGTGACTTACCCAGGGTTACTCAGTTACTAAATGTCTCCTGCCAGATTTCAACTCAAGTGTTGCTGATTCCAAATCCAATACTCTATCATATCCACTGTGCCTCCTAGCTGCCCTAGAATAGTAGCATACGGACAATTCCAAACCTGAGAAGGGTTTATGGTGAGAGGTAATGCCTGCCTTTAAGCTTGATATCACCTACTCTGGGCCATTCTAGGCAAGATTTCATGCAGCAAAATTTCAATTTGATAAAATCTTTTGTTAATGTCCTTTTTATTGTCTTAATGAAAACTCAGGGAGAATGTTCCTACTTCGCATATGGGAATGCTGTGAAAGGCCTCATCTCCTGGCCTTATCATTGTTGCCTAGAATCACTCTAGGTCACACATTACATAAGTGGAATGCCAGAAAAATATGAACAGTTTATACCACTTCTCATTTTTGTCAGTCTATTCTTTCTTTCCATCATGTACAAATAGTCTAAAGGTAATTATGCCTGGCACAAATTGCTCTACTCCAGAAGCATTGTTTGCAGAACTCACATATTTTATGTGAATAAATTATCCTGTTAGTGTTAGGTACTTCAACATTTTATTTATCCCTCATATGGCTGTTATACAATCACACATCACTGCAAGTCCAGAAAGGGATGCTTATATTGAGCAGCTGAAATAGATACTTTAGTAAATACATGCTTAGTTCGGTCTTGTTTTAACTCCCCAAGCAGAGATTTGCATTGTGAACAATTTCTGTGCAACACATTCCAATTGAAGAGTTTATTTTCCTCATTTCAGAGATCTATTCCTTTGGTCTCTAGGCCCTTGGAGACCTCAGAATGCTTTTACAAATATTTCCCACGGTCACTGGCCACTTGGGCCACTGGCCACTAAACACCTACCTTCTCCTACTGTTCAGACAGTTTCCTAATGGCCAGGAACTATCCTGGGACTTGCAAAAGAGTCCAGCACATGCTTGATGGAAGTGATTGCCAAAATGTTGGTACAATTGAGAACAATTAAGACCAAGAATGATAATAACTGTGCGGGGAAATAACAGCAACAACAATATCTATTTTTGAAGCCAATTCTTCCAAAGAAGAAAATCAAAGATTTTAGAAGCTTGATTACCTATTTAAAGTCATATACTGAATTCTGCTTATCTTCACTGAATTCTAAAAAACAATTCCAAAGGATTGTGCTCCTATTCAAGAGACAGATTGTGAAGTGTAAGCACCCCACCCCTCTATAAAATGAGAGGTTTGGGCTCAATGACCTTTAAAGACCCTTCCAATTCTAGATCTACAACCCTATGATCCTAAGCATATAGAGACTCAATTTAAGGAGAATATTTCCACCCATTGCTCCTGGCTTCACTTTTTGGGGGAAGAAAAAAAAACACAACAAATCTTATATCTTTTCCGTATGAGAGTCTTTCAAATATTTGGAGATAGAAACTATAACATACCTTCCCTGAGTCTTCCCTTCTCTAGGATAAACATATCCAGTTTCTTCAACTGCTTCTCACATGGAAGGGACTCAAGTACCTGCATCATTCAGCTTATCAATGCCATCCTTAAATTATGGCACCCAGAACTGAATGTCTTACTCCAGATGAAGTCTGATGAA